AAACTACCATTCTGTTTCATTGGGGGCTTTTTCCCTATTGGTTTTCTTCTGCGTTTTGTTTATTTATTTTTTTAAAAAAAGAATTAGTTCTAATTTTGTTGTTATTGTTATTCTTCACCTTGACAAGAGAAAGAGAAAGCAAACTGCTAGGTCTAGGATTCAAACCATGTCAACTATGTGGGAGTCCAGTGCCTTAACCACCACACCACCTGCCAGCTCCTATTTTTGTTATTATACTCTTCCTTTTAATTGCTTTGGGTTTAATTCTTTTTTTTTTCTTCCATTAATTTCTTAAAGCTTAAATCATTGATTTGACACCATTTCACTTAATCACTTTTATAAGGCAAGTCTGTGTGTCTGTATGTGTTTTAAGTCCATTTATTCATTTCTTCTATGAGCAAGAGAGAGATAGCACCCCCAATAGGGTCTCAGCACTGTGATCCAGCCCTAACTTTAGCCAGCCCTCAATCCTATACATAAACAGGGCATTCCGAGGTCTTCAGACACAAATCCAGAATCTCCCACGTGGATTAGCCTTACAATGTGTTGTGTTCTACAATTACAGCATCAAGCCCCCCCTTTTGTTTTAGTCTTTAATGCTGTAAATTTCCTTTAAAGCATTGTTGTAGCCACATCACACAGATTTTGAGATGTATTTTTGTTTTCATTCAGTTTAGAATGTTTTTTATTAATGCTGGAAAATTCTCAGCCATTTCCTTTTAATACTCATTTATTGTCTCCTTTGTTACGTTTTGCTGTTTCTATGGCAGTCTGTTATTTAAATAATTTCTTATTGTTTTTAGAGAGAGATTTTTGCTACAGGTTGCCTGTGCTGGAGAGAAAGTGAGAAATCGCCTCCCAGGGGTGGGATGGTCACACTGCACACTGTAATCCCTTTTCTTGCTTCTTAATCTTTTTATGGTGTTTTTCATTTTTATTCTCAAAATTTTCCTGAACTCCTTTCTTAAACCATCTACTAATATTTTAATTCTTATATCTTTCATTTCCAGAAAATGTATTTAGAGTTTGCTTGGTTTGGTTTTGTTTTTAAGGTTTTTTGGTTTTTGCCGTGGGGCACGCATGCTCGCCAGAGATCCAGTGAAAGAGAAAGTGAGAAATCACCACCAAGGGGGATGGCCATGCCACAATCCCTTCTCCCTCATTTTCCTCCTGGGATTTTGGGCATGTACACACGTGCACCCAATGTGATTGTCAAGCTTTCAGGTCCAAGACTGGAACTGTAGTCAGCTATATTGGAGCACAGTGCCTTAACTACCATGCCACCTACTGCCCCCTTGTTTTTTGTTTTGTTTTGTTTTGTTTTAATTTGCCATTTCTTTCCCCAAGTTAAACAGAATTGTGTAATTTCTTATAGGTTATTGTTTCATTTTGTGTAAAATTCAGAGTATATTTCTTTTTGTTTATCTGCTGATTTTCAAATGGACTGTTTGCCTTATTTTTAATTTTTATAAATTTTCCAGTGTGTGTGTGTACTTGTCAGAAAGAAACAGAGAAGGAGAAAGCACCACCCCCCACACCCCCCCGTGGGGCATGGTCACACCTCAGTCCCTTCTCCACTTCTATATCCTGTCAAGATTTTGGGCCCCCACATACATGCCTGGTGTGTTTTTAAATGGCCAGGTCTGAGCTTTAAACTGCTCAGTAGGTCATGTGGGATCCAGCTTCCTTAATTACCAGCGTTAGGGGTCAGCCTGTCTTTTTAATTTTATTTTATAATTAAAAAAAAATTATTTGTTAAGGGACCATCAGTTGGCATAATGGCTATGTCGCTGGACTCCCATGTAATCGACTGTGGCCCGAGTCCCGGGCACATGTGCATGTGTGCCCGAGATCCCAAGAGGAGAGTGGAGGAGAAGGATTGCGGCGTGGCCATCCACCCTAGAGGGGG